TTATCAATTAAAAAAATAAATCATTAGCCGACCAATAATTCCTCTTCGACACGAGATGCGAGAAATTGGAAACAAAGGTGAAGGCTTTTTATATATTTTTTTTTGTTATTGGTTCACAATAAAAGGATTTATTCCAACAAATAAATGATAATTAAAAATGTCCTGTTAATATTTGCCTAAAATGTTGGAGATATAAAAGTTAGAAACATGGTCGATAAAATAACTTTGTCTCGAAATGTCATTATAAGTCGCATAGATGACATGAGCCAGAATATTGGCCCACAAATTACATCTAGATTATAATATTTTGCTTACTTTTAACTAGCTTTGGATGAAATATGTAACACCACAGACAATGCGCATTTAAGCATATTTATGCTTCTGGTGATAATTTTAATATCGCAGAAAATCCTTTTGTGTAGCATCAATTAGTTTTACTTACAGGGGAGGGTATTTTTAAAGAGTTCAAAAATGTAATTAAAGTTACAAAATGGATTTTGTAAAATTAGATAGTGTTTGCACAGATGGAGTACCCTGCAAGGTTGGCAAGATAAAAGGTATGGTTACATTGCTTGAAAATTAGTTGAGAAGAATATTTTTAAGTATCACTAATATTTTTAAGTATCACTAATATTTTTAAGTATCACTAATATAATTAAGTATCACTAAGAATATTTTTAAGTATCATATCCATCACGAAGTTCTATGTCCCAAGAATTTAAATTTGTCTTCTGTTGTTGATTCTGTAGCGCGCTATATCAACAAAATAAGAGCTCGCGCTTTGAATCGATGACAAATTTTGGGAACGTTTCTCTGAAAAAATGGAAGAGGAAGGCGAATTATTCTTTCATTGCGTATCAGCTGGCTTTTTAAAGAAATTAAATTTGCGAGAATTTGGAATTGGAGGGATTGTATTGTAAAATTCCTGGAAGTAAACAATGCTGCCCAGTAAACAATGCTGCTAGTAAACTGCCCAGTGTATTCTTACTAGTCCAGAATGGTGATTGGATATGAATTTAGCTTTCCTCACAAATACTATGGGCTATTTGAATAGTTTAATTTATAGCTTATGGGGCCAAACTGTATTTTTTGCACCCTAGTTAGGTATAGATCTTCCTTTGTTAGCAATCGTTTGTTTTGTGTTGAAATATTCACATTTTACAATGATACAGGAACTAGCTGTGAAAATCAATAACACTTGGAACTATGACAGAATTTAAAAAAGTATATATCTTATGTAGAATTCTTTCAGGGCTCCGTTTAATGAACTTTCAAAGATATAAAATAAACATTGATCTTTTACAAATCATTTTTCTGTTTCTTTGGAAGTTACTAGTTTTTACCCAACTCAACTCCAAATAGACATTATTGACCACAGGACTTTACTACACTAAAAAGAAAATATGAGGAATTTATAATAACTGCATCACGGGATGTACATTATATAGAAATTTGAGCATTTACATCAACAAGTGATTTTCTAAGTTTATTCGACTTGTCTATAAGATATTATTGCAGATTTGGATCAACAGGAGCTCGCGCACGCACGCACACACACTGAACAAATCTTTTTTAATATGAATGTAATAAAATCAAAATATCATTTAAAATTAACTGACTTGTGCCTAAAGTACCAGATTTTGTTAGCAACTTCGAATCCTAAAATCTTTGAACTGGTTAAAAAATACAAATTCTCATACCACACTAATTAAGTACTGACTGTTTAAATATTACTTAGAATCAATATTTTCAAGTTATGCACTTCTATTTTATACCTATATTTACTGATTGATTCTTTATAAAGTTTAATGACAAAAAAATCTAGCTTTATTCTTTTGTTTTATTTGGTATATTACTTTTGGACGTCCACGATTCAGACTTTCATGAAAAAAATGTGCAGTTTGCTAAAAACTCATTATCAGCTCATAAAAAGCTTATAAATTATTTATCAACTAAATCGTTTTTGTTTCTGTTAAGGCTCCTGATTTAGACAAACCAAGAATGATTTTTTTTATTTATGTTATTTGTTTTTAAATAATCATTTGAGAGAATAAATGTTTTAATTAAATTATAAATGTTTAATATAAATAATGATGGAGTGATATATATAAATTCTGACCAATGATTATTCTAGCTGTAAAGATACATTACATTTATAACAACTAATCTTAGTATTTAATTTTTAAGGCAATGGAATAGTTTGAACAGGTATTTTCCTTTTTTTTTTTTTAATCAGAAGTGCAAGTTTGTACTTCCATTTTTCCTCATTATTGATTACAAATCACAGTTAAAATTCTATTTCATGCTTTTCTAAATTTAGTGATTACATTTAATATTTAATTCTAATTAAATATTTTCTTTCTATTTTGTTTTCTTTATTTTGGTAAACGAACATTTTTGTTTAATGTTATTTTAAATTTTTGTTAAGTAATTACCTTGCTGAATTTGAATATGAATGCTTAAGTTACAGCATCTATTAGTATTCTTTATAATATTTTACATACAGATAACTTCAAAAAATTAATTCTGTTAGTGAAACGGTCTTGAATTCATATTGATTTAAAGCAATCCATAAAATGTGAAAAATGGAAAATCCAATAGATGTGACAAAAAGAAATGCTCAATTATTTTTCAAAGATGTTATTGATTTCTTTTTGAAAAAAATTAGTTTCCTTTATAAATGTGAATAAATTGCTAGTATTTGCAAAAGTATTTTTATGAAGAAAAGCGTTTTTTAGTAGTTTTCGTCGAAAAACATTAAAAAAAGGTGAAAACTTGAAAAAACAATCTATTTTTTTCTTCGAAACAGTAGCGATTGCGAGTTTTTATGCAAAAACATAAGAAAGGAGAAGAAAAGCAGTTTTTATGGAAAAACGTTAAAAAAAAGTGAAAAATAAAAAAAAACGGGGAAAAAAGTAAAAAAAAAAAACGATAAAGGGGCCACCCCGCACCGTCCGGGAGGGTTCGGGAGCCAAAAGGGATCTCGGATATCAAAAATTAAAAAAAAAAGTAAAAAAATGTCAAAAATCCGAAAATCGGGAAAAAAATTCCGAGTCCCGTCATTCCCGGGGTCCGGAACGCAGGGAGGAGCTTTTTTTCCCGAAAAATAAAAATTTCCAAAAAAGTGAAAAAAGCTATCAAAGTCCCCGAAATGGGGTGCCCATCGATATGAAAATAAGCCTAAGTCCCGCAGAGGGCAAAATTTTTTCAAAGTCCAAAGTCCTCACATCTTATGTGCCTTCAAACTTCTGTGTATTCAAATCTTATTTGCAAGCGAAATTCTAAGTCCAAAGTTTTTTCAAAGTCCGAAGTAATTTCTAAGTTCTCACATCTTATGTGCATTCAAATCTTATGTGCTTTCAAATCTCATGTGCCATCGGAATTTTTGGACTTACATCTATTTGGACTTACATCTATTTGGACTTACATCTATCGGAAGTCCTTACATCTATTTGGACTTTGCCAAAAAAAGGTCGAAAATGAACCGGAAGTAGGCTTAGCGAGATGCCGTGCAAAGTGGAATGTCACCTTACGACGATGCAAGTTTACCACTCGACGCGGTAGGCTTAGCCGCCTGAAACATGCCGCAGTCACCGTCGAGGGAGGGGTTTGTCAGTCCCCTTTCGCAACTCCATTTCCCTATATAGGGAGCACCTCTCTCGAGTGGTCCAGAACGCGATTTCGTGTTTTGTGATATAACGTGGAGTGGAGGGTGTGCGTCGTGAGTGGGATCGCTCTGAACCCTTTTTAGGGTTTTTTTAAATTTTATTTTGGCTTTTTTGAGCGATTTAGACGCACTTTGGTTCCCGGCAGGAGGGACGCGGAGATTCGTCTCCGGATCGGTCCCGGACCACTCGGTCGTCCGAAGGGGCTCTCGGACGGCGGCCTCGGGCGCTCCCCATCCAAGGGGGGGCGTGGGTCGGACCCACACGACCCATAGGAGGCGGAGGATCGTCGGCGCTCTCCGTAACACGGGGAGCGTCCGGCGTGGAAACGGATGGAAGGATTGGCTCCTGCGAAGACGTGGGTACCAGCCGAAGGATACGGAGAAGCCGGGATTCCGCGGGGTCCGTCCGGACCGAAGGAAGGATTGGCTCAGGCGAAGACGCGAGTGTATGCCAGGGGTCTGTGGAAGGTTCGGGGTTTATTTAGGCGACCCGAAGCTATTCTGCGGGAGCGGCCGGGTACGCCCGCGGGGTCCGTCGGGAAGGAAGGATTGGCTCTACCGAAGACGTTCGGACCAGGAACATCTGAGGAGTGCCCAGGAGCGACCGGTAAGACGTCGGGAGCGTCGGGGACGGACCGGTGGTCCGGACCGAAGAAAGGATCGACGGAGGAGAGTCCCCATCCGGGGGCGCGCTGCGGTCGTCTGAAGACAGCGGGTTGGCACGCGGCCATTAAAGCACTTGCCAAAGACGACCGGGGCCATTTCGAGTGCACACGTGGTCCGAAGAAGGCGGGTCGGTCTGTGACCGTAAAACGAACCTGCACAGGACCACGCTGCTCTCGCGGCCGCGTCGGTTCCCCCCCGGAGGTTCCGGTCCCCAGACCGCGGGTCGCTTCCTAACGGACGTAAAGGAATCTGCCCAGGACAACGCGGCTCGGTCCGCCTCGAGTTCGCTGGGGCTCGTTTCTCTCTCTCCGTCCAGCGGGTCGGCGTGGATGCACGCCGTTAAAGGAACCCGTCTGTCGATGGTGCGGACTCGTCCGCGTCGGGTCCCCGTTCGCGGGGGCTCTTTCCAACCCGTCTCTGCCTTGGCGGCCGCCGCCGCGATCAAAGGGTCGCGGTCGGACGCGCCGTGCGTGTCGTTGGATCGAGAAGGGCCTTTTTAAAGACGTCCCCTTAGGGGGATGCCCTCAGTCGCACTGCGGAAAGTCTCGAAACGAGAAAGAAACACGGACCTCATTGGGAGAGGGAAGCGGTACCTCTTAAAAAATTCCGACGAGATAGAGTAAGGCGAGGACCTCGTGGAAGGCCTTGCAGGAAAAGGAGCGAAGATAACTGGTTGATCCTGCCAGTAGTGATATGCTTGTCTCAAAGATTAAGCCATGTACGTGTAAGTACAAGCGATACAAGAAAGCGAAACCGCAAATGGCTCATTAAATCAGTTACGGTCCTCTTGGCGGTTGAGACTACTTGGATAACTGCGGTAATCCTAGAGCTAATACATGCACTGGAGCTCCGATCCCGCGTGGGAGACGAGCGCTTTTATTAGACCAAGACGTTCGCGCGGCAGTGACTGGTGACTCTGTATAACCTAGGGCGGATCGCACGGGCTCGTCCCGGCGACGCGTCTTGCGAGTGTCTGCTTTATCAACTGTCGATGGTAGGTCATGCGCCTGCCATGGTCGTCACGGGTGACGGGGAATCATTGTTCGCTTCCGGAGAGGGAGCCTGAGAAACGGCTACCACATCCAAGGAAGGCAGTAGGCACGCAAATTACCCACTCCCGGCCCGGGGAGGTAGTGACGAAAAATAACGGTACGGGACTCTTTCGAGACCCCATGATCGTAAGGTAAAGAGTGTTCGAAAGGAACGATTGGAGTTCAAGTCTGGTGTCAGCAGCTGCAATAACTCCAGCTCCGATAGCGTAAGCTAAATTTGTTGCGGATGAAAAGTTCGTAGTCGGATCTCAGCCTGGGGCGCGTCAGCGCCCCTTCTGGTCTCGCGGGCTCTGGCCGTTTTCCGAACCGCGATCTTAACCGGTCGCGGAGTCTGGTCAGTTTACCTTGAAGAAACTGAAGTGCTCAATGCAGGCCTGTCGCCAGCACTAGGATGCATGAAATAATGCAAGAGGACCTCGGTTCTATTGTGTTGGTTTTCGGAACCGGAGGTAATGATCGATAGGAACAGACGGGAGCATTCGTACTGAGACCCTAGAGGTGAAATTCTCTCAGAGGTCATGAAAGTCAGAGGTTCGAAGGCGATCAGATACCGCCGTAGTTCTGACCGTAAACTTTGCCTGCCAGCTATCCGGTGCTGTTTGAGAAACGACACGCCGTATGGTTGTGAAACTTAAAGGAATTGACGAAAGGGATGGATTCTGCGGCTCAATTTGAGTCAACACGGGAAACTCACCCGCTCCGGACACGGCGAGGATAGACAGATTAATGGCTCTTTCTCGATTCCGTGGGTGGTGGTGCATAACCGTTTTCAGTTCGTGGGCATGACTTGTCTGGTTGATAACGAGCGAGACTCTTGCCTGCTAAATAGGCTGTTCCGTGATGTTTCACGGAAAGAATCTTCGAGGAACAAGCAATTTCGAGCCGCACGAAAAAGAGCAAAAACAGGTCAGTGATGCCCTTAGATGTCCGGGGCCGCACGCGCAATACAATGAAGGCGACAGCGTGTGCTTTTTTTCCTTTGCCGAGAGGTCCGGGCAACCCGATAAAACGCCTACGTGCTGGGGATAGGGACTGTAACTGGCCCCTTGAACGAGGAATCTCCAGTAGGCTCGAGTCATTAACTCGTGCCGACAGTGCCTGCTCTTTGTACACACTGCTCGTCGTTAATACCGATTGAATGGTTCGGTGAGGTTTGCGGACCTGCGCCTCCGTTCCTTAATGGACACGAGGTGTCAGAAAAGTGATCGAACTCTATTACTTAGAGGAATTACAAGTTGTAATAAGGCTTCCGTAGGTGAACCTGCGGAAGGATCATTGCTTTAATATGCTTGTCACATACCGGGGCTTGGGGTCTGCCCCGTCGATCTTCTCCCAGACGAGGTTCTCGGTGCGTTTATGTGGCTTTTAAATGGGAGCGCACGATCGAATAGAATTTTTGCTGGACTCGATCGAACGGGACCGAGTCGAGGGTGTGTTCGGAAAGTCTCCACGTTGAGCGGAGCTTGCTCCACGGGCGGAGATGTTGGCTGCTCCGCCCCAGACGAAGCGATGACCGAATGGTGATGCAATGAAACGAGACTCGGGACGGGGTGCCTTCTTTGGGGCCCGTGGCTCGGAGACCTGAGAAGTCTCTCTCGTAGATGAGGCTGCGGCGGCCGATCTCAATAGATCGGGTGCGGGTTTGGCGTTTTGAGAGGCGGAAATTATTAGAGTTATTGAGTCTTGAAGAGGTCCGAACTCGGGTGGGCGAGGCATTAGTGATCTTACTGCGGGTGCAGGGGTCGTCCGGTGCTTGGCTCGTTTGGTTCGTCTCTTCGAAGAGTTGTGGATTCTGCCTTTCTTTCGTCTTCCTGCCCGGGTGCGCCGTGGCCGACTCGAGGTAAGGTTTTTATTAAAATTGACGATGCCTCCGACCTCAGAGAGTGATGAGAGAGTTCAAATTTGTCGCCTGGGCGGTTGGAGGAGTCAAGAAGCTACGACGCATTTATTTTGTTTGGAATATTGTTATTTGGAGGCTGTCTGTTGACCGACCGGATGAAGTGGAGATGGAGCCTTCGGGCGGGACTGCCGGGAGCGGTGGTAGTGCTCTTGACCAGCGGAGAGGAAGTCGGGGAGTTATGGCCGTGCGGTGCGAGGGGCCTGCGTGTCCGGGTTCGGACTGGTTCTAGAGATTCGGATTCGGGAGTGCGAGGTGTCGGTGATTCTTTGCGGGGGCAGGGGTCGTCCGGTGCTCCATGCGTTCGGTCCGGGTGTCTGGTTTTGGATGCGTTGCGTTCCGGACTCTGCGCCGTCGTCTCTTCCTCGGTGGGTGCTCTGCCGTAAGGAGTTTCTCGCCTCCGATTAAGGCGTCTTCGTTCGCCGTGTGACGTTTCCGGGTCGACGCCTCCGATGTTGGTGGAGTGTCATTACGGATCGTAGCCTCTTCCTCGTTCGGGTGGCTCTCGAGAATTTTTTTTGGAATTATATTTTCGCGAGTCTCTGTGAGTGGAAACGGTTATCGCCGAGTCTTGAAGAGGGCGTACCTGCTTCCCGGACCTTAGAGGTCTATGGGGGTCTGAGCTCCTTCGGAGGTTCGAGCTAGGTGCGAGAGCTGCATTCTAGCATTCTGCACCGCGCTCCTATATTCTCTGTCCCTATTCCCACCGATTCAAACTCGAACAAAATGACTATGACAACTCTGAGCAGTGGACCACGCGGCTCACGGGTCGATGAAGAACGCAGCTTGCTGCGATATTTGGTGTGAATTGCAGGACACATTGAACATTGAACACCGAACTTTTGAACGCGCATAGCGGCCGACGGTCTTCTGGGACTAGAGGCCTCGCCTGTCTGAGGGTCGTATGAAACTTAGGCCCATACTCTGGATCCATTGGCCGCGTCGGGTGACTCAACCCGTCGGCTTAAGTGCGAAAGGAATTCTTCCGAGCCGTGGGAGTAGTCTCGAGTATCCGGTGTCCGGGGGAGAGTTCCCCCTCAAGGCCCTCTCCGGTTCTTCCGGCTGCTCGCTCGAGGCGTTCCCCAAGAATCGGAAAAAGGTACCTTAAATTGAAATTATTTTTGAAACGATCTCAGATAGACGAGACTACCCGCTGAATTTAAGCATATTAATAAGCGGAGGAAAAGAAAATAACTGTGATTCCCCTAGTAGCAGCAAGCGAACAGGGAGGAGCCCAGCCTTGAATCCTTGCCTCGTGCAGGGAAATGTGGCGTTTGTGCGAGTCGGGAGCATTTTCTCAGAGGGTGTGAGGCACGTCCTCGCGCGCCGTGGTTCTCTCTCGGTACGCCCGCGAGTTGGGTTGCTTGGGAGTGCAGCCCTAAGATGCATGGTAAATTCCACCCAAGGCTAAATACGACCGTGAGACCGATAGCAAACAAGTACCGTGAGGGAAAGTTGAAAAGAACTTTGAAGAGAGAGTTCAATAGAACGTGAAACTGCTCAGAGGGAAACAGGTGGGCCCTCGAAGTCCAGTGTCTGGGGCGTTCAGCCCCGGTGTCGTCCGCTTCCGCCGAAGCGAGTGAAGGAGCGCCCCTCACGTGGGGGTGCCGTCCTCGCCCCCAGGAGGTGGTTCGGCCCGGGTGCACTCGTCCCCTTCCAGAGGACACCGCACCCCGTTCGTATTTTGTGGGCAGTGATTGTGGATACTTTTATGTGGACTCCGAATGAGGATATTCCGATCTCTTCCGCCCGGGTCCGCAGCGGACAGTGGTTTCCGACTCGTCCCTCCTAATTGGTATTTTTGGTGGTGCAGGTGGGTTCTTGGGTAGCAGTGCGCACGCTCTCTGAGCGTGTTCGGTGACTCGCCTCGCCCGCGCCGCTTTGTGATTTATTTGGAGGCCGACGGTGTTGCAGTGCAGTAGGTCGGTGCCCCACCCGACCCATCTTGAAACATGGACCAAGGAGTCTAACATGTGTGCGAGTCACTGGGTCTCGAAGAAGCCCACGGGTGCAAAGAACTTTATTATTGTCGGGATCCCCCGCATATAAGAGAGGGGCGCACCGATGGCCTGCCACTGTGTTAGGACTAGAGGCGAAGCCTGAGCTCACACGTTGGGACACGAAAGATGGTGAACTATGCCTAGACAGGACGAAGACAGGGGAAACCCTGTTGGAAGTCCGAAGCGGTTCTGACGTGCAAATCGATCGCCTGATCCGCGTATAGGGGCGAAAGACTAATCAAGCATCTAGTAGCTGGTTCCCTCCGAAGTTTCCCTCAGGATAGCTGGCGCTCGATCAAAATTCAGTCACGATCGGTAAAGCGAATGATTAGAGTTCTTGGGGCCGAAACGACCTCAACCTATTCTCATACTTTCAATGGTCGTAGAGTCCTTTCTCGACTTGAAGGTTGGACGGTGGATGAGAGTGCCTAGTGGGCCACTTTTGGTAACAGAACTGGCGCTGTGGGATGAACCAAACGCCGGGTGAAGGCGCCCGATGCAGAGGCGCTCATGAGACCCATAAAAGGTGTTGGTTGCTCTAGAAAGCAGGATGGTGGCCATGGATGTCGGCATCCGCTAAGGAGTGTGTAACAACTCGCCTGCCAAAGCAACTAGCCCTTAAAATGGATGGAGCTTCCGCGTCGAGCCCATACCCGGCCGGTTCTCTAAGTTATTCTATTTATTAGAGAACCGAGAAGGAGGGTCGCGGCGGTGGCGTGGAAGGGCGTGGCGCGAGCCTGCCTGGAGCCTCCGCCGGTGCAGATCTTGGTTGTAGTACTAAATACTCAAGGGAGAACCTTGAGGACTGAAGTAGGAGAAGGGTTCCATGTCAATAGCGTTTGCACATGGGTGAGTCGGTCCTTAGATAACGGAGAGATCCGTGCTAGGCGAGACTTTACGAGTCACGCTATGGACGAAAGGTGATCGGGTTAAGATTCCCGAACCCGGACGCGAAATAAATGAGACCTTGGTCTCTGGAGTGGTAACGCAAACGATGCGCGCTTGGATTTCGTTCATGCTAACGCTAATGTAAGTGACGAGAATGCTCTGCCCTCGAGGCAGGTCACCTCAGTGAACTCGAGTCCAGATATTCTGGGGACCTGTACGCCATCCCTTTTACAAGGGAAGGCAGGTCTTCTGAGGCTCAGCGCCCGAAAAGCTGAGGTCGAGAAGAAAGAAAAGAAATATGAAACTGGTTCTAGAAAACAGCCCTCAAAAGTTCATAGCGGCCATGTTCCGCGTGATCCTTGACAAAATCGACCTCAAGGAAGGGCAGAAGGTTCGTATCAAACAGGTGTTGCTAGAGGCCGCGGGGATCCTCTGGCAGTCGGAGTGCGAACTCCAACAACTCCGAACCAGGGTTCCAACTCGGACTGAAAAGTGCGAGAGAGGAATCCAAACAGATGTTGATCCTGCCTGCGAAGGCAGATCCCCGGAAGTCGTTACTGTTCACGAGAGCAGACAGAGGTTTCAGCTGTTTGCGAGAACAGCAAAAGAGATGTTCCTGTTCGCGAGAACAGGCAATAAGCCGGCTTCTCTGCCGACTCTGTCAAGTCCTACGCTGCAATGGCGGCTAAAAAGCCACCACCAGCACCCCCAAAGCAGGCAAAGGGGAAGGACAGCGACAAAGTCAAACAGACCTCGAGGAAGCAGACAGTCTGGGTAGTACCCAAGGCTGAGTACTACTCTGCGGCGAGGCTCTTAAAAACCTTGCGTCGCACGATCAAAACGGAAGAGATAGGAGTTAAGGTTCTCCTATTTCGCCCCATAGAGAAACGGGGAGTCGTTATCGAGGTGCCTTCGGCAGATATGGCAAAGCGGCTAATAACCGCAATTAACACCAATGCCGTCCTCCGTAACATCTGCGAGGCATCGGAAAAAAGGAAAAAACTCCCGAGAATTTTCCTTTATGACGCACCGGGAACTGAAAACCCGGAGAGGCAGGCGAAGTTCATTGAGAAACTTCGCCGCTTCAACGATCTTCCTGCTGGTACCATCAGAGTAGCAGGAAGAAAAAGCCTTAAAGACGGTTCCGTCCATCAGGTTGTGGACGCTGAACCTGAAATTCAGAAGGCCATCCTCGAGATAGGACGACTCTTTCTTGGGTTTCAATCCCATCGAGTCAGGCCGCACCACAAAGGTGCTTCAAGTGCAACAAATATGGGCACCTGGCGGTAAAGTGCAAATACAAGGCCCCACCACCCAATGGGGAGCCTAAAAAGACCACACTGGCAAAAAGTAGGGCCAAGAAACCTCGCGTAGGGCAAAAGCTGGCTTGATCCTGATTTTCAGTACGCTTACGGACCGTGAAAGCGGGGCCTATCAATCCTTTTGAGTTTATGAGTTTTAAGCAAGAGGTGTCAGAAAAGTTATCACAGGGTTAAGTGGCTTGTGGCGGCCAAGCTTTCATAGCGATGTCGCTTTTTGATTTTTTGATGTCGGCTCTTCCTATCATTGCGAAGCAGAATTCGCAAAGCGTTGGATTGTTCACCCACTAACAGGAAATGTGAGCTAGATTTAGACCATCGTGAGATAGGCCGGAACCATTCTCTCCTTTTTTTTAAAGTTTTTTCAAATATTTTGTTTGGAATGAGATCCTATGTTTCGAAGGGTCCCCGTGGTTAGGTTTGGACTTAGTCATCCGAACCAATTGCCATTTCTTCTTAGAATTTTTTCTAAGTCCCAGGAGGAGTGTGGAGGCGCTGACGCGCCCGCAGCGTGGCTTCGAAATCGGTGTTTTCTCCCCCCGTATCCGCGATTCTGGCGATTCCGGCGAATCCCCGACTTTGAATTTTATTAAAGTTTTTTTAAATCCTATGTTCAGATCCTATGTTTTGACCAGAGACCCCGAGGTTAGTTTGGACTTTGAAAAAAAATGGGATAAAAAAAATTATTTAGAATCCCTATGAATCAGAGGTGACGTTTGGGCCTTTGAGAAAAAAAAAAGAAAAGAAAAGAAAAGATTCCGGAGGAGTACTCGACGCGTCCGGAGTTGGAGTGGAAATAATTCTCAGACGTAGAGCTAGTCCCGAGGTTAGGTTTGGACTTTGAACAACTTTTTTTAAAACGTTTTTCTGAATTTCACTTGGTGTGTGTGTGTGTGTGTGTGTGTCATCAAATTTTCGATCGTTAATTTAACCAACTTCCCATCAAGCTAGAGCTTTGAAATTTTGGGAATCGTTCGTACTCGCCTAACAATGCAATATTCAGACGTTTGCGACAAGCTTTAACTCATATTTTCTTTAATAATGCAGTTTAGTCCAATCACTTGGCGCGATTTCAAAAATTGGCACCAAACTTGGCGATTTTTTTGGGCTGATCGTTAAGTCCGTAAAACGAGCCAGGGAAGCCACATTTGGCAAAATACCGCCAAATAATTCTTGTCGTCAAGGGTGATTGGGTTAAACTGCATTCCAACCATTTAATTTACCGGATGAATTAATTAATTTTAGTGAGTTTTAACGCTTTTATGTATTTCACTTGGTGTGTGTCTGTCTCTGCGTGTATCAGTGTGTCATCAAATTTTCTATCATTAATTTAACCAACTATATATAACTTCCCATCAAGCTTTAGCTCTGAAATTTTGGGAACCGTTCTTACTTGTCTAACAATGCAATATTTAGATATTTGCGACCAGTTTTATCTAATATTTCAATAATTTTCTTAAATAAACTTTGTCACCATATAAAAACGTTGTTTTTAAAAACGTTGGTTTTTATCTCGAATTATTATCCCATTTTTTTCGGACTTTGAAAACTTGGCCTTTTTCTGACTTTGTAAAAAGAAGATTTCGGAATGCTACTAATTGAAATGAAACCTTTTTCAATAATAAATATCTCAGGTGTGAATCTAATGAAATTAAAAAAAAAAACATTCCATTCTTTAAAGAGACACTCCTATCTCTTGGGGATAAAGAATGAGGACTCCAGGAATAGAAACAATGAATTAAATTTTAAAATGATGATGATAATAATAATAATAATAATAAGATGAATAAGATTCGTCGGTTCCAATATTTGGGACCGGCCGCTCTTTTTTTTTATGCCCCTGAGATCGTGCCCGGGAGACTTGCGATAGGCGATAGGGAATAAAAAAAAAACGAGAGAGAGAGACTTTTTTTTTGAAGAAAAAATAAATCTTTCCACAGCTTTTTAAACGTCTTCCTGCACAACATTAAAAAGTGATAAGAGTTGCTCGAATTCTAAAGATAAGATTCGGAGAGAGCCCGGGGTACCCCTACCCTACCCAACCCTACTCGAGGCGACTGCCACGAGATGGGGAGGGAATTATTAGAAGGATTACATCTACTACTCCTTCCACTAGTATTTTTATTCTGATATTTTTTTTAAAAAAATAAATAAAAAAGAAACTTAAAATTCCCTCCCTCTCGATAAACTTAATTTGCAGTGTTCTGAAAAGAAAGAAAAAAGTCCCCTCTTGAATGGACACACAAAATCAATGAGTCTCCCCGAAAGGAAGTGACTCTGTGACCTATTTCAAAAAAAAGTTCTATTCTTACGAAATTGGAATAGGAGAAATACAGCTTCTTCCAAAAATCCTCAATCGAAAAAAGAAGCGAAGCGAAGCAAAGCAAGGGTGAGTGACGCGAGCCCGGGGTACCCCAGCCCTGCCGGAAGTGACTTTGGAAAAAAAAGGTCTCCATCAAACCTGGGACTCCGGGGGACGACATATATAGGTCGTCGGAATTGTAATAATAAATCAAGACTTTAATCAATAAGTTGGAATTCCACTAAAGAGAGATAATTTTCCATTTCAAAAAGAACATTCCCCAGGAGATACTAGCTGACCCGGCAAACGTTGTTTTGCCATGTAAATAATTTCTAGAGAATTTCTAGTGTAGAAAAAAAATAACTAACTTATTGGAAGCGTATAAGGATGTGGAATATGAGTGAAAAAGGCATAGAACGCTGTGAACGATGAGGGAATATAAAACTAACAAAACACCAAACATTAATTTTTTCAGTTTATCAAAAGTAATAATTATTTATATCATTAATTCATTACATAATATTAATCTCTTAATGCTACAGCGTGAACAATATTTCTTGTTAACCCGTCTTTAGCTAATACAAACAAATTTGATGGTTTACCCACTCGAGAGCATGCAACGTATAAAATTGTCCGTGTGAAAAACATGGTGTGCTCAAATCTAAGCCACAAACAGACATAGTTTGGCCTTGGGATTTATTAATAGTCATTGCAAATGCCAATCTAATCGGAAATTGAATACGCTTAAATTGAATTGGCACATCTGTGGGTATAATAGGTATTCGTGGTATTAATATATTTTCACCTCGAAACTTGCCATTTAAAATGGTGCCCTCGATTACGTTTTTCATTAATTTTTTAATGACTAATAGCGTACCGTTGCACAGCCGTGGCGGGTTCAAATTACGAAGCAAAATAATCGGAGATCCAACCTTCAATTGTAAGTTATGTGGTGGCATGCCTGGCAAATCCAGTGAGTTCAAAAATTCTGTTGGAAAATTTACAGCTTCAGTGTCATCGCAAACTGTATCAATAGATTTATATGATACCAAGTCCCCTGGCAATAACTGTTGTATCTTCAGATTCAAAATGTCAACGTCCACATTTTTTGCAGCTAAAATTGCTCTTTCTGCAAGCCACTCGAGATTTATGTAATTCGTGTGTACATCGGGAAATATTTGTTCAATGAGAGCATCTTGCGAATCAATGATTGTGCAGAAATCAGTCGCTAATTTTATGTTTCCAGTTTCATCTATAGTGACTTTTCCATCGCCGATATCTAAGAGTTGTTTTGAGAATATTTCAGCGGATGGATCTTGACGCATTTGAACGCGCATATTTACTTTCAGCTGTACTATTTCAACATTACGCCACAATGGCGAAGATTTTAAGCAGGCGTTGATTTCATCAGCGTATGCTGAACGAGGAATGACGGGAAGTGTTTGTCTGAAGTCACCTGAAAGGACTAACAAAGTGCCACCAAATAG